GGGATTGGATCGTAAAAATCGTCCAACTCTCTTGTTTTGTTTATTGTTTTACGGCGTTGTTGTTGTTGTTGACATTGTTCATTCGTGTTGAGAGCTAGGTTAGAGGCGGTGTGTCTGTCACCTGAAGATTACACACCCTAGTTTATTCTTTTTTTTTTCTTCCTTCTATAGTTAAACGGTATATAGGGGTGGTTAGGTGAGGTGGGTGAGGTGAGGTTAGGTTAGTTTAGCATTAAGTTAGGTTAGTATAGGTTAGATTAGGTTATTATAGGTTAGGTTAGTTTAGCATTAAGTGAGGTTAGTTTAGGTTAGTATAGGTTAGGTTAGTTTAGCATTAAGTGAGGTTAGGTTAGGTTAGGTTAAGAAACAACCCCCCCCCCCCAGCTATTGAAGGGGACTTTTGACGTACCTGCGCCCCATTTACCATAGCCTCCACTATTCACACAATCCCTCCTATTTTCTCCTATTCTCCCTGTTCCTACTTTCGCTCAATGGCCATTATTGAAGTGGTGAGCCCTTGATAGAATAGGAAAGAGGGGCAGGGGGAGGAGGGGGGAAGAATGGGAGAGGAGGGAGGAGGAAGAATTGCTTATGTAAACTTCTTGGTCTTCTTCAGCCATTCATCTTTTGTAGGAGCTGAGAGAGAGAGAGAGAGAGAGAGAGAGAGAGAGAGAGAGAGAGAGAGAGTTTGTCTTCAATTGGACTGATAATTCTCACTTAACACTTGTAAACAAACAAACACTTAGACGATAATAATAACAACAATAACAACAATAATAATACTATTACTACTACTACTTCTACTTCTACTACTACTACTACTACTATAATAATAATCCCTCATTTTCAATCAGCTCGTATCAGTTAGGTCACGTAAGACAACTGCGTCTGGGTCATATTGATAGTAGGGTAAGGTAAGGCAGGGTAGGGTAAGGCAGGGTAGGGTAGGGTAAGGTAGTGGTAGGGTAAGGTAGAACAGGGTAGGGTAGAACAGGGTAGGGTAGGACAGGGTAAGGTAGGATAGGGTAGGACAGGGTAGGCAAGGTAGGGTAAGGCAGGGTAGACAAGGCAGGGTAGGAGGTAAGGGTAAGGTAGTGGTAGGGTAAGACAGGGTAGGCAAGGTAGGGTAGATAGGAAGCAGGCGTAGTGGTAGGGGTAAGGCAGGTAGACAAGGTAGGGTAGGGATAGGGTAAGGTAAGGTAGTAGGGTAAGGCAGGGTAGACAAGGTAGGTAGGATAAGGTAAGGTAAGGTAGTGGTAGGGGTAAGGTAGGGTAGACAAGGCAGGGTAGGATAGGGTAAGGTAGTGGTAGGGTAAGACAGGGTAGGCAAGGTAGGGTAGACAAGGCAGGGTAGGATAGGGTAAGGTAGTGGTAGGGTAAGACAGGGTAGGGTAGACAAGGTAAGGTTGGGTAGGGTAAGGTAGGACAGGGTAAGGTAGTGGTAGGGTAAGGCAAGGTAGGGTAGGAAAGGCAGGGTAGGGTAGGGCAGGGTAGGGACTGTTACACCATCGACAATTTCCGAGGGCCCGAGGCTGGTCAATGGCCCCTATTTAGAGCTGATTACCGACCATAGGGCCGCCTGAGGCCTCCAGTGGCTTATGGTCCACTCTGGAATTTCGGTGAGAATTTAATAGTCGGGATGGCCTGTGCTGTGTGGTGCTGTGCTGTGTGTGGTGCTGTGGTGCTGTGGTGGTGTGTGGTGCTGTGCTGTGCTGTGCTGTGTGGTGCTGTGGGGCTGTGGTGTGTGCTGTGGTGTGTGGTGCTGTGGTGTGTGGTGGTGCTGTGCTGTGGGTGCTGTGGTGTGTGGTGCTGAGGTGTGTGGTGCTGTGCTGTGTGGTGCTGTGGTGTGTGGTGTTGTGCTGTGGTGGTGTGTGGTGCTGTGTGCTGTGCTGTGTGGTGCTGTAGTGTGGTGTTGTGCTGTGTGGTGGTGTGTGGTGCTGTGTGTGTGTGGTGTTGCTGTGTGGTGGTGTGTGTGTGCTGTGGGGCTGTGGTGCTGTGTGTTGTGCTGTGTGGTGGTGTGTGGTGCTGTGTGGTGGTGTGGGTGCTGTGTGGTGCTGTGCTGTGTGGTGTTGTGCTGTGTGGTGGTGTGTGGTGCTGTGGTGCTGTGCTGTGGGTGCTGTGCTGTGTGTGCTGTGCTGTGTGGTGGTGTGTGGTGTTGTGCTGTGTGGTGCTGTGGTACTGTGGTGTGGATAGGTTAGTTTGGTGAGGTTATGGTTGGCTGTGTCGGTTGTGTCGGCTGTTGCCTGTGTCGGTTATCGGCTGTATCGTCTGTTGCCTGTGTTGGTTATCGGCTGTATCGTCTGTTGCCTGTGTCGGTTATCGGCTGTATCGTCTGTTGCCTGTGTTGGTTATCGGCTGTATCGTCTGTGCCTGTGTCGGTTATCGGCTGCTGTGTCGGTTATCGGTTGTGTCAGTTATCGGCTGCTGTGTCGGTTATCGGCTGTGTCGTCTGTTGCCTGTGTCGGTTATCGGCTGTATCGTCTGTTGCCTGTGTCGGTTATCGGTTGTGTCGGCTTATCGGCTGTATCGGTGTATCGGCTGTATCGTCTGTTGCCTGTGTCGGTTATCGGCTGTATCGTCTGTTGCCTGTGTCGGTTATCGGCTGTATCGTCTGTTGCCTGTGTCGGTTATCGGCTGTATCGTCTGTTGCCTGTGTCGGTTATCGGCTGTGTCGGCTGTTGCCTGTGTCGGTTATCGGCTGTGTCGTCTGTTGCCTGTGTCGGTTATCGGCTGTGTCGTCTGTTGCCTGTGTCGGTTATCGGCTGTGTCGTCTGTTGCCTGTGTCGGTTATCGGCTGTGTCGTCTGTTGCCTGTGTCGGTTATCGGCTGTATCGTCTGTTGCCTGTGTCGGTTATCGGCTGTGTCGTCTGTTGCCTGTGTCGGTTATCGGCTGTGTCGTCTGTTGCCTGTGTCGGTTATCGGCTGTGTCGTCTGTTGCCTGTATCGGCTGTATCGGCTGTTGCCTGTGTCGGTTATCGGCTGTGTCGTCTGTTGCCTGTGTCGGTTATCGGCTGTGTCGTCTGTTGCCTGTGTCGGTTATCGGCTGTATCGTCTGTTGCCTGTGTCGGTTATCGGCTGTATCGTCTGTTGCCTGTGTCGGTTATCGGCTGTATCGTCTGTTGCCTGTGTCGGTTATCGGTTGTGTCGTCTGTTGCCTGTGTCGGTTATCGGCTGTATCGTCTGTTGCCTGTGTCGGTTATCGGCTGTGTCTGTTGCCTGTGTCGGTTATCGGCTGTATCGTCTGTTGCCTGTGTCGGTTATCGGCTGTATCGTCTGTTGCCTGTGTCGGTTATCGGTTGTGTCGTCTGTTGCCTGTGTCGGTTATCGGTTGTGTCGTCTGTTGCCTGTGTCGGTTATCGGCTGTATCGTCTGTTGCCTGTGTCGGTTATCGGCTGTATCGTCTGTTGCCTGTGTCGGTTATCGGCTGTATCGTCTGTTGCCTGTGTCGGTTATCGGCTGTATCGTCTGTTGCCTGTGTCGGTTATCGGCTGTATCGTCTGTTGTCTGTGTCGGTTATCGGCTGTATCGTCTGTTGCCTGTGTCGGTTATCGGCTGTATCGTCTGTTGCCTGTGTCGGTTATCGGCTGTATCGTTGTTGCCTGTGTCGGTTATCGTATCGTCTGTTGCCTGTGTCGGTTATCGGTTATCGTCTGTTGCCTGTGTCGGTTATCGGTTGTGCGTCTGTTGCCTGTGTCGGTTATCGGCTGTGTCGTCTGTTGCCTGCGGTTATCGGCTGTATCGGCTGTTGCCTGTGTCGGTTATCGGCTGTGTCGTCTGTTGCCTGTGTCGGTTATCGGCTGTGTCGGTTATCGGCTGTCGTCTGTTGCCCGTGTCGGTTATCGGCTGTTATCGTCTGTTGCCTGTGTCGGTTATCGGCTGTATCGTCTGTTGCCTGTGTCGGTTATCGGCTGTGTCGGCTGTTGCCTGTGTCGGTTATCGGCTGTGTCGGCTGTGTGGTCCAGACAACCTTCCCATTGTTAGGACAAAACTGGTCAAGCGAGTCAGTACTGTGGGCAACCCGCCATGTATCTTGTTTTATTGTTTATTTGTACTTGTTTCTCTGTTTAGTTTTGTTTTATTGTTTACTTGTATTTGTTGGTTTAATATATTTACTTATTTGTTTGTTTATTGAGTTTCTTTATTTACGATTTTTTTTACTTGTTTGTTTTTTGTTTGTTTACTTATTTGCTTGTCTTATTGTTTACTTTTATTGTTTGTTTATTTTTTACTTGTTTGTTTTTTGTTTGTTTACTTGGGTGTTTGTTTGCTTACTTATTTTACTTGCGTTTGTTTACTTATTGTTTGTGTTGTTTTCATTTTGCTTATGTGTTAGTTTATCGTGGCCCGGGGTGGGGGTTTAGGCACTGCAGAGGCACTAGCGAGAAGCCATATATCAAGGTTGGTGAGAAGCGGCGTTAGGCACGTTGCTTATATATGGGTCACCAGGCTGTGTGTGTGTGTGATGCTTGCTTCTGTGATGGTGTGTGTGTGTGTGTGTGTGTGTGTGTGTGTGTGTGTGTGTTTTACGCCCATCAAAGCGTTGATTAATGACTCACAGAGAGGGAGGGAGGGGTAAGGGGGGATAATGTGGGGTAGAGAGGGAAGAGGAGGGAATGATGGGAGCAGATGAGGAGAGGAATGGGAAAGGGAGAGAGAGAGGGGGGGAAGGGAGGGAGAAGGAAAGGGAAAGGGTCACATATATTCATAATTTAAATATTTCCTTACATCATGATAATTCTTTAACAATATGTATATGTATCTTTATATAATTCATACATATTCAGTGTTTATGTATACTGTACCTTCAAATTTATATAATACAGTATTTATGTCAGGTATTGGTAATTTGTTCATATAGAGGTCATTTTTATGCAGTGTTTATGTAATGTTATTTTTGTATAAGTGACCTCAGTATAAGTAACGTGACCTCAGTATAAGTAACATAACCTCAGTATAAGTAATGTGACCTCAGTATAAGTAACGTGACCTTCATCTTTCAGGGGAGAAGCCGTTCCGGTGTGAGTATGAAGGCTGTGATCGACGCTTCGCCAACTCGTCAGACAGGAAGAAACACTCACACGTCCACACGTCAGACAAGCCGTATAACTGCAAGGTGAGGGGGTGTGACAAGTCCTACACACACCCGTCCTCCCTCAGGAAACACATGAAGGTGCACGGCAAGTCTCCTCCGCCCTCAGGCTCAGGCTACGAGAGTGATGACTCCACCACCACCAACGGCACCTCCACCTCCTCCTCCCTCGTGTCCTCCACCAACCCGGGTCAGACCTCTCTTGTGTCGGGGTCAGGTCTGCCGGGTGGCGCTGGTGGGGGCGGTGCCGGGGGTGGCACTGCGGGGGGTGGTGGGGGCGGTCACTCCACCAACCTGAGTGAATGGTACGTCTGTCAGAGCGCCGCCGGGATGCCAACGCCGCCCAGCAACGAACACAGTCCTGTGGGCGGCCTCAACCACGTGTTACCGCCCTCCTCGACGGCGTACTAGCAGTGGGCGGCCTGTGGCGCCCCCACACCCCCCTATCTCCCTCCGTCAGTCTCCCTGGAAGGGGAGGCGCCAGGAGGGACACCCACCGTGGGGGCTCGGCTGTCCCCCGTCCTCAGTGATGTACATAAAGTGTACAAAGTGTACAGTGTAAATAATGTACAGACAAGTTGTAATGATAAGTTTGTACCGCGCGACGAGCTGTAGGGCGGCGCCCCCAGCAAGTGAGACCTGACACGTTGTTTTTGTACTACCAAGGTGCTCAACCCTTTATTTATTGACAGACACGCGTGTTGTACCTCCGTTCATCTCTGTGTATAGTCCTGTTTTTCCTTCATTATAATAAACAAAAATTCTTAATCACCTGTACAGGACACACGGGGTCACCTGACACTCAGGGGTCACGTGACTCATCTATATCCTGTTTTTATTGTCCCCAAACACACAAACAAACACCAATATCATGAGTGCCAGCCTCCAGTGCCAACATACTTTACGTAATAAAGATAGCAATAACACTAATAATAACCAGGTATATCAAGTGTTCCTTAATGAACAACAATGAACAGGTGTAAAAAAACAAATTATAGGTAAAAAATAAATAAATCGTGATTGAGAATTGGGTGAGTGATAAAAATAACTGCAATAACAAACAACCCCCAATTTTTTTTAGACAATCACGCTATTAAAATACAAATAAAGATTACTCACCAGGTTCAAAAACAATTAAAACACCGTGATTGAAATGTTTACAACAGCTTTGGTTATTAACACTGTGATAAAGGTGAAGTGGTTGTGGGATTGAAATTGTTCTAAAGATTAATAACTAACTAAATAACAACTCAGAAAATCTCCCATAGGATTAGTTCTGTGATTGCATGTTTCTAAAGGTTAATAAATACCACCATCAGACACACCCAAATAAATCACGGATGAAAATAACCAAATAACCAGATCATGGAAACACAATCACAGAAAATCACGGAAACGCTTGATTTTGTTATTGCATATTATTTTAAGGAGTAATACCTCCATTTAACGGACACCAACTTAACGGGCTTAGTCCGCTATATGGAAGTTTCATATCTAATGGACCTGGATATAACGGATTTACAGCCCTATGCAATCGAATAATAGAGGTCTAAATAAATCACTCTAGTAATTAGTTATGTTATTGAAATTCTGTGGAAGTAAAATAAATAACATGAAAATTACCCAAAATCACCAAAATAATTCGTTATGTGATTGAATGTTCAAAGAATTAAAAAAAATAACTGACTATAAAGTAACACCTAGAAAAATCACGAAAAGGATTAACTGCGTGATTGAAATTCGACTAAAGGCAAATAACTAACTGTATCAGACAATAACGCCTGGAAAAATCACAATATATTTTTAATTAATAAAATAACCAAATTAAAATAAAAATAACAGGATTTTTCGTGTTTACAAATTCTGATAAAAATAACCAAACAAACAAAATGTGATTGCATATACTTATAATTATATAACAAAATCACCAAGTAAAAAAAATCACGAAGATGCAAAAAAATCACCTATATAATAAGTTTCCGTGATTGCATAAATTTTCTGCATAATTGATCTTGAGGACGACGACCAATCACCAGGTTGTATTAATAACAGGCAATTGCCCTCAAATATTACATAGCTGTTATTTAATGTGGTTCTGATAACGACTGTGGTAAATCACGTTATTGTGGTTATTTCTATGTTCCTGTGATAATTTTTTAATAGTAAGCAATAGATAAAAAAAATTCCTAAGTTGTCTACACGCTTGGATAATTGTCTAAGTATTGTCTACACACTTGGATAATTGTCTAAATATTGTCTACACGCTTGGATAATTGTCTAAATATTGTCTATACACTTGGATAATTGTCTAAGCATTGTTTACATACAATTTAATTTCTAAACCTTGTCTACATAAACAACTTGCATACTTAAACGACACACACACACACACACACCCACACATTTTATAAGTATTTTCCCTCTTGTTACTATCCGAAGGTTGAGTTTATTAAATTATAAGTAAATTACTTTTATAAGTGAGAGTATGGAAGGATGTGATTTAAAAATATTATTACTGTGATTGTAGTTATTTAAGGTTATTGAGATTAGGTTATTGTGGTGCTTATACTTAATTGACTCTATTATTATTATTATTAGTAGTAGTAGTAGTAGTGATATTGTTGTTGTTATTATTATTATTAAAACAATAACTGAAGGTTTTAACTGGAGGAATAATTTCATAATTAAAACCAAACGAATATATTTGAATTAAGTCACAAGGTTTATTCCTATTTCTTATCTCCTTATACAAATGTGCTCAAGTTTTATTCACTGGTTTATACGAATGTTTTAACAATGAGAAAAGTTTTATATCATGGATTAAACCTCTTGTGCAATAGTTAAACCTTTGGTGATGGTGGCTTAACCCGTTGAAGATAATGGTTTAAGTTTTAACCCTTTGAGTAACGACGTCTTAACCCTTTGAGGACGATGGTTTAGCTTTTATAAGGATGATAATGGTTTAACGCTTTGAAGACGATGGTTTAAGTTTAACCCTTTGAAGACGATGGTTTAACCTTTAGATTAGTTCCAGGTAAACCTAGCTTCTGTGAATGACGTTATTGATACGTAATGATGCTGGTCCCGCCCACCTGAAAGACGTAATCGTGACGAAGTACAGTAGTTGACCAATGGTTGATGATGAATTAAGATGTCAATCACAGGACGGTCCTGGATGGTTGAATAATGAGATTCACATTCAAAACACGATCGTGATTGGTTGGTTTGACTGAAAAGAAAATAATCTCCTCCAATCATGGCGTGAGTTACATTATGATTCTAAAATAATGATTGTGATTAGTGCCCACATTCAAAGCACGATTGAGATTGGTGTATTGGATGACAGACTAGCCAATCACACTGTGAGTTACGTATAATTAATGTAATTTGCTATTTGGTTATAATTAGGAGGGGGTGAGAGGGGAAGGGAGAGAAAGAGAGAGGAGGAACAGAGTGTATTAATTTGTAATATTTCTCGAGTGAATTACTGTTCCATCTCTCTCTCTCTCACACGGCTACAGAGAGGCCCTAACCTGACCTGTCTAACCTAACCTAACCTAGCCAAATTTAACCTAACTTAACCTAACCTAATCTAACTTGACCTAACCTAACCTGGACTAACTTAACTTAAACCTATCTAACCTAATCAAACTTAACCAACCTAACCAGACTTGAAACCTAACCTAACCTTACGTACCTCTGCTTATTAACTCACCTGGCTTCCATGTCCAGCTAATCCTCCCAATACCTCAGTACATAGAGCTATTAGGTTAGGTTAGGTTAGGTTCCAGCCAATTGACATAGAGCTATTAGGTTAGGTTAGGTTAGGTTCCAGCCAATTGAGTCTTCGTTAGGTTAGGTTCCAGCCAATTGAGTCTTCATTAGGTTAGGTTCCAGCCAATTGAGTCTCAGTAAATTAGTTCAGATGTTATAGCGGGTGAAGTTAACATGACATTTCCTCCATAAAACACTAAGATATCCGTAATAAAAACAGACTTTATGAGATAATTTTACCCAATATGTGTAGATCTGACATAACCAGGTCATCATCTGTTACATAAAAACTCATTAAATTTAGTTGTTTTTTGAGTAAATATAAATTAAGGTTTAATAAACACGAGCTGGTAACATTAGGCAGCTCTCCCCCCGCCTCATAATGTAAACAAACACTTTACTCGATCTGATCAAGGGATAATATTGCCCATCATTTCCGCCATAATTACTTTCTAATAAATAATTAGCCGACCTTAATATAGATCCCTTTATTTACTTTACAACAATATAAATAATAAAATGTTAAACTAAAACAAAATAAGTCTTAACCCTTACCGACATTACGAGCCAAAATGATAGTGATTGACAGATTTGACCCCGCCCATGAAGATGACGTCAACAGTTTACTCTAGCCGCTGATTGGTTCTCGCCGTCTGTCACTTCCTGTGGCGTCTGTCATTGGTCGGATTCGATCGGGTTACCTGTGTCCCTCCGAGCTCGATAACATCTCGGGGGAGGCGCTGGTCGCTGAGGCTCACCTGACCGTCATATCTCCCTCGTTAAATGTGGTCGTGGCTTCAAAAACGAGTCACTTGGGACGAGATGGAGCGTCATTATTACTGACGTTAAGCTGACCGAGGCATATTGATAGCGGGTGCTGATGAGGGCGGTGATGTGGGCAGAATAACAACGATGGTTTAATGGTTAAGAGGCAGAAGGGTAGGGACCATTACTAATATATAATGGGGCACTGTATAAATGTCTGTCTGTCTGTCTGTCCAGGAAAAGATAGATAGGTATTTGTTGTAGCTTGTGTCCCAGGATGATAATAACAACAACAACTACAACAGAAACAATAATAATAATAACAATAATAACTACAACAACAACAATAATAATAATAATAATAACAAGTTAGAAATTACAATATTTAGGAAACTTTTAAATACTTTCAACTATTCTTCAAATTATATCACCTAAGTCAATATTTCTTTGTAATTTTTGCTACTTTTTTCTCACTTAACTAAACAATAATTTATTTCCCCAAATTACGTAAGAGTAAGAGAGAAAAATTATAAAAAGTATCAAAAATATATATATTTTTACTTTAATTTGAGATATTGTTAAAAAAAAGTTTGTACCTCATCGTAAATTCCTTGAAACTTTTTTTAAAATCTTCAAAGTTTAAACTAATTAATTAATTTTGTTATAAACTTTTAATACTAAACTTTGGGAAATATTTTGGCAACGAAAGACCAAGAGATTAAATTACCTGTCGATAATGACCTGTCGATTAATTACCTGTCGATAATTTACCTGTCGATTAATTAGGCTACTTGTCGATAATTTACCGTCGATTATCACCTATCGATTAACTAACTGTCGATTAATTAGGCTACTTGTCGACAATTTACCTGTCGATAATGACCTGTCGATTATTTACCTGTCGATTATTACCTGTCGATTAATTAGGCTACTTGTCGATAATTTACCTGTCAATTAGTTACCTGTCGATTATTTGCCTGTCGATTAATTACCTGTCGATTATTACCCGTGGATTAATTACCTGTGGATTATTACCTGTCGATTATTTACCTGTCGATTAATTACCTGTCGATTATTACCCGTGGATTAATTATCTGTCGATTAATTACCTGTCGATTAATTACCTGTCGATTATTTACTTGTCGATTATTACCTGTCGATTAATTACCTGTCGATTATTACCTGTCGATTATTTACCTGTTGATTATTTACCTGTGGATTAATTAAAA